TCCTCCCATTACCGGGATATCCCGCCCTCCACCAAAGGATTTCGGCTAACCTGTGGGTACTTGGGTACTGCTCTCATATGGTGCTTCGGCTTATATGGGGGTGGGGAGACGACTCTTTCCCTGATGTGGGACAGAGGTAAAGGCTACTGTGGGGGTTTGACCCACAGGTTAGCCGAAATCCTTTGGTGGAGGGCGGGATATCCCGGTAATGGGAGGATTGCCCTTGGAAGACAGGGGTCCGGTAATGGACCAGGGTCTTCACATCCTACAACTAATGCTCCTTGGGCGACAAGAAGTTCCTTACATGGTTGTTTCTCATCTAGGAGGAAGAGCACAACCTAGACCTCAAGTCATAGGAGCTCCACGCCCTAGGCGTCAAGGAGCTCCCCACATGGGTGTTCCTTATCTGAGCGCCCCTTTGGAGTCCCCTCAGGCGCCCCACACAGGGGAGCTCCCCACAAGGGACCTCCAACTCCTCTTCTAGCTCCCTCTTTTCATGGTGGAGACCCTTGTTTCCAAGAGGACGAGGGTAAAAACCAAAGCTTGAAGCAGGGGAGCCATATCCATAGTAATTCCAAGGGACCTCCTCCTAATCATTGGGACGAAAAAATTAAGGAGGTGCAGAATCAATTGGGTGATGTCTTCAACGCCATGAAGGCACGAGGACTCGAGATAGTAGATTACCTTGTAAGTCGAACCAACACACCTTTCAAATTTGACGTGGCGAACTACCTACTCCCTCAAAATTCAAGATGTCATCCGTCAAAACCTTTGATGGTACGAAGGATCCATTGGACCACCTTGAAAATTTTAAGACCTTGATACAACTGCACAACGTCCCTGACGAAATCATGTGCAGAGCGTTCTCAACCACCTTGAAGGGATTCGCTCGACAGTGGTTCGCCAAGATCACCCCCGCTTCTATCGGCTCATTTGCTGAGCTGAGCAGGTCCTTCGTGTTGCACTTTATTGGAGGATGCCGTTACAAGAAGCCTACCACCCACCTGCTCAGCATAAAGCAGGACCGAGATGAGAGCCTGCGAAGCTACCTCACTCGTTTTAATGAGGAGGTCCTTCACGTTGAAGAGCCCGATGAAAAAGTCAGCCTGACTGCCTTCTTGGGAGGCCTTCGGTCATTGAGCTTCATTTTCTCCGTGATGAAACGCCCACCAAAGAGCATGCCAGAATTATTGGCAAAAGTTCAAAAATTTATGAATGCTGAGGAAATCAACAGGTCCAGGCGAGATGAATCATCTCTCGGGGGTCGCCAAAAAGCTTGGTCTACCTCTACACTGTTCTTAAGCAAGTAGTTTATCTCCAGTTTAGCGACTCTCTCGAGGGTCGTCAAAAAGCTTGACCTACCTCTACACTGTTCTTAAACAGGTAGTCTATATTCAGTTTAACGGCTCTCTCAAGGGTCGCCAAAAATCTTGCCTACCTCTGTACTGTTCTCAAACAGGTAGCCTATCTCCAGCTTAGCGGCTCTCTCGCGGGTCGCCAAAAAAGCTTGACCTTTGCACTGTTCTCAAGCAACCTGCCTATCTCCCAGCTCTCTCACGAGTCACCAAAAAAGCTTGGCATCTGCTCTGCTCTCAAGCAAGTAGCCTAGACCTCAAACTTAAAAACTCTCTTATTGGTCGCCAAAAACTCGGTCTCAAAAGATTTAGCTCTCTCACGAGCAATTCTCAAACTCTATCTTGCTCTCGCGCAAGCAGCCTGCCTCTCTCTTCAAGTAATCATGTTAAATATTTTAATATTTGAAATAACATTATTTTTATCATCTCTAGTCAGGATCTTAAAACTCAGGTCGTCTGCAACCCGAGGGATTACCTTAGATTGAATGTCAACAATCGAGGCCTCATCCATCTAGCACTCAAAGCCTAAGACGCCTAGCCAGCGACGCCAAGAAGTGCCTGACCCCCTTTGTCAGCGCCTGGAGGGGCGCCTAACCCTTTGTGCTCACCCAAAATGGTGCTCTATGGCGCCTGCACACCAAGACCAATCCTCTTTCCTCTTCCTTACTCGCCTGGATTAGCGACTAAGGCATACCCATGCTCGCCCAAGATGCCAAGCATAGCAGGTTGTTCACCCAAGCGGCCTTGCACAATAGGATGCTCGCCTAGCTAGTTCGTGCATACAACAGCACCAAGGCGCCCATCGGTGCACTCCCCAGAGCTGCTCCACTCGCTCAAGGGCTCCGTGCTCACCTGGGTAGCCTCAGCCTAGGTGCCCTGCACCTGGGCCTCGACGCCCAATCCCTGACCAACAGAAGTACCTGCCCAACACCTCTCCTTACAGCCTGCACCCAAGTCCTGCTCGCCCAAGGCATAATTGCCCAAGCTCTGCTCGCCTAAAGGATTGCCCAACATAGCAGGAGCCTCCCTGGTTTGCTCGCCCAGATCACCAAGGCTGCCTAGACCGCCAACCTTACAAGCAACCCGTTCACCCAAGGCCTCCGTTGCCTGGCCAACATGGGTGCCCAGCCTTCACCCAGTAGCCAGTCCTACAGGCCATGCACCTTCATCTCTTCTCCAGGGGACACACCAACATTTTCAAGTTGCACACCAAGATTTGCAGACCTTAGCACATGATCTCCACCATTCGACATTTTTTGAAAAAAAAAAAAATTGCCCAGGAGGTGGCTTGCTCGCCAAGGAGATGGCCTACTCACCCAAAAGCTGGCTGTTCGCCCAAAAATACGCCCCTAGCTCCCTGCTCGCTATTTTGATCGTAATTTTTGGTCCGTAACTCAAAATGAGGCTTATTATATACATTACCTATGGTATTGAGCTTTCCAAACAAAGTCCAAAAAACGTTCAGAAAGAGGTGTTTTGGCCTCCCGAAGTTTAAAAAAAAAAAAAATTGCTGCTCGCCCAGGATGCTGCCTGCTCTCCCAGGAGCTCTTTGTTTGCCCAAAAATGCACGCACAACTCTTTGCTCGCTATTTTGACTGTAAATTTTGTTTTGTAACTCAAAATGAGACATATTATATACCAAATCGAAACTCTCGACGAGCTGAGCTGAGCAAAAGGTGTTTTGACCTCTCGAAGTTTTTTTTTTTAAAAAAAAAAATCAGCTCACCCAATAGGTTTTCTGCTCACCCAGCAAAGTATGTGCCCCCCCAGAAGTGGCATGTTCACCTAAAACATGCACCCACCTCCGGCTCGAGGTTTTGACCGTAACTTTTGCTCTGTTGCTTGAAATGAGGCTTATAATATATCAAATCGAAGCTTTCAACGAACCCTACAAGATTCATAGCCAAAGACTATGATTGATGCTGTTGAAAGTCCAAAAAAGACCTATAAACGGATGTTTTGGCTTCCTGAAGTTGTTTTAGTTATGTCGGTCAGCCAAAAATTCAAATTCAACTTAAATGCCCTCATTTCCAAGTTTTGTTGGACGCAGGGCATTGGGGGCAAATGATGGGTCAGGCCCAAAGGCACAACCCATGTTATAAGTCTGGTTCGAGCTAAAGGCCCAATATGAAGAGATCCAACTAGTCAAGCCCAAATGAGTCTACACCCAGATAATCTTATCAAGATCAAGGAGCTGCAGAGGAGCATGCATAGTCATCCAAGAATCTCATCTACCACCTTAGAATAAAGGTCATCCAAGAGTCTCTACGCTACCAAGGGAGCGTCCAGGAGCCTCACCTCGTAGCCTGGAAAGAGTCAATCTCCCTCATCCTTGAACAAGTCCTTTGGAGAGCACACCAACCGTCACACCTCACCCGTTGAGAAGATGATAAGTCGTCTCCGTCAAATCAGCTACCTAATTACTATCAAACGGTCTTAAGTCATTATAACTGTCAGACTAGTCATACAATTACTATACCAAGCCACTATAAATTATAAGTTCCCCCAACACTTGGGGGGCATCAGACTTATTTGAGCATGATTCTCTCACCCCCTCTCAAAGCTTGTAATCATGTGCCCTTCTTCCACACCGGAGATAATAAAATTCCGGCGAACCTAGCCATTCAAAGTAAACGTAGTTCGTATTGACCGAACCACTATAAATCTTGTCTTCTCTCCCTTTCTACTTACTGCATTTTATACTATAACTTGACTAGTGGTGTGCAAACTAATTTGTGCATTATTAAAAGCTATTACATTATAATCTTAACAAAAATTACTTCTAAATACTAGGTAAATATTAGATTTGATTCTTTTAATTAGTCTATTCACTTTGTGAATATACCACAACGACACAATGTATATTTTCTTGAAACTAAAAAGAATTATTAATTTTTTTTATTATATGTTAAAGAACTACCAAAATATATAAGTGTTAAGTTAGTTGAAAATAATAAAAATATTAAATATATTTTATTATAGTTGTATCCTGATCGTACACGTATCCTATTTTTTTTGATTTGATCGTATCGTCATATCCGTATCCTATCGTACCGTATCTCATATCCGTATCCTATCGTACCGTATCTCATATCCGTATCCTATTGTACCGTATCTCATATTAAATATATTTATGTAGCAAACATTTAGTATTGTGGGATTGTGATATTGAGATTGTGAATATTATGTGTATGCATTGCAAATATATTTTATATTTTTTTAGCTAAATTATTATATTTTGTAATTACTATATATATAATTTTTATTTTTTTATTATATGATCGGTCCGACCAGTTGATCTAACAGTTGAATCAATGAACCATTGATTCGATCCTCTTACCGATTCGATGGCCGATCCAATTCTGATATCATTGACCGAAACCCCATTTCCCTCTCTCTCTCTCTCTCGGCTCCCACTGAAACTTTTGATTTCGGGATTTAAAATTTCTAGAAGTAATTTTTGTTGGATTCCAAAATGTATGTTATGAGTTAAAGAAAACACAATTAACGTGTCATGGTAATATGGTATTAACTTCAAACAGTCGATATGAAATTAAATACAAATGTATGTTATCAGTTAGTAAGAGATGTAACACTGTTTATTTGATAAAATCTGAAGATTGGGCAAGAATTATTGAACTAAACCCCCCTCCCTCCTATTTAGGCGTGGGACAGACTGAGGCTGAAAGATTTTGTTACCACTAAGATACCACGAGGTGGTGTATTATTGATTGTTGATTTCACATGTCATATCAATTGTATAAGACTATCAATTACAAAGAGAGAAAAAAGGAGTAATGGAAGATGATAAGAGTGTAATTAAGCAGTACATAAATACACAGTACTCAATGAAGCATTACAACAAACACAAGAGGCGCAAAGATTAAAGGGATAATCCCGACTCCTCATCCTCTTCAAGGGTGGAAGTGTAGATAATGTAGAGAGACCAGATCAAGCCAAACACACCTAAAATGATCCAAACGAGGAAGTTGTTGCTCAAACCAAAAGGAAGCCCAGTTCCTTCTGTGGTCATTCTATCATCCACCAAAGCCATGGCTGGGTTGGATATGGTTGCAGCACATGCCGCCGCAATCAGTGATGCACCCATCCCCAAATTTGAGCCACTCTCCTCCACAGCAGGCTTTCCCTCCATGGAACACCTCACTTTGCCCACCCTTGCCGCCATTGCTGGTAACCCTGGAATCAATTTCAGTCTTTAGAGCAGATGTGACTTGTCTATCAGAGTCTAAAACGTACAAAGTACAAGCAATTTTATAATGAGAAACGGAAATTCTTACCGACTACGGTAGGACGTACGAGGGATCCTTTGGGCAGGAGAGCCGTGGGTGTGATCGAAGAGGTTGAAGTGCAAGCAGTGATGGTGGCCATTGTAATGTTTCAGTAGAGGAATAATAATTCTACTGTTGAATGGAAGTTGTTGACAAGAGGATCAGTTAAAGTTTGCTTAATGGAATATTCGAATTAATAGATCTATTTGGTGGTTCCAAGTCTGCTCAATGCACCACACAACGTGGATAGAGAGAGATCGCACCTCATCTGCGATAACCCAATCAATTTCTTCCACGTGTCAGCATCTTCAGAAAATTGGGCGTGTGTCGCAATTAGGTTGGGCAACAGGACGAAGGAAAAATAAAAAATAAAAAAAATCCTAAATTTATTTACTAAATCTTGGAAATGATAGAATATTTAATAGAGTTAATGGATCTCACTAATCCAACCACTTCCATTGATTTGAGAAATAAAATTTGGACAACAAGTATAACATTGCTCAAATAAAAAAAAAAGAATTTCATTTTGCACCCGAAAGATTTAAAATTTATTATTTTATATTTTTAAAGATTAAATTTTTTATATTCTACCCTCAATGCATTAAAAGTATTATAATTTAACATTTTTACTAGCTTTCATTATTTATTCTGTTCAAAATTACTCCATTTACTTTGAATGAGTATCGGAAATTAATAGAATGGTTAACTGTAACATTTTTAATATATTAAAAATACAATATAAGAAATTTAATTTTTAAGCGCACATAGTAAATTTTTTTTAAATTTTCAAGGTATAAAGTGTAAAATTTGCCTAAAAAACAACGTAAAAAAACCACTTGAGAAAAAATAAACATACGACAGTTTTACGATTTGGTGCCAATTTTCTAGAAAGCACGACTCCGGTACTTAAATTATTATTGTCGAGAAAATGGGAAAATTCACGAGTTAAATTTTACACAAAAATTGGAAAAGAATAAACGAATAAAACAACAATATGTGAAATTTACACGAAAATTAGAAAAATTGGGGGAGCATGAAAGAATAACACAAAAATTAGTGAAATTTACACAAAAATTTAAAAAATTGGAGAAGAATGAAAGAATAACACAACATGATGTGAAATTTACACGAAAATTAAAAAAATTGGGAAAAATAAAAGATTAACACAACAAGAAGTGAAATTTACACAAAAATTAGAAAAATAATAGAAGAATGAAAGAATAACATGTCAACATGTGCAGTTCCTATCATGGGAAATTATGAAAGAATAACACAACAACAAAGCATTCATGTCGCGGGATCTAATTTCTAACGGGGCAGAGTTCCTCTATTATACACC